TCTCGCCTACATCGTCCATATAGGACGACTCGGGAACTCAACTCCTACCCCGGGCAGCTCACCTATCCCCTTATGCCCAGGGGAAAGGTATCAAGCCGTTTGACAGCTGATGCTGGCTGTCAAACCGGCTTTTACGCAAAACAGGCGGGAGGCAGCAAACAGCTGCGACCAGCGAAATCGCCTGCCACCGGAAGTCACCTTTAAGTACCTCTTAACTTTAAATATAAGAGGAAGCTTCACTTCATTTATAAGATTTCTAAGAATACAAGGTATAGTATTTCATTCTTTTTTTACTAATCTTCAAATAAACCTAGCCTATTTCCTATGTGATAGGAAATTGCTAAGAAAATTTCATGACTGCAGTGATTTGAACAAATCTTATTCTCCACTTTTACTAATAAAATGGTTGCTAATTAAGTTTTTGCTTACTATAAAATTAAAACCCAAAGCAATTTGAGCTATCAAATTATTTTGTATTATTGTACTGTCGTATTTAATCAATAACTTTTTTTACATTTTGTTTACATTTGCTATTTGCAAGAGCAAATAGATTTGTATTTACAAATGCAAAAAAACAAAAAAGCAAATGGGGCTCTTTACTGACCTATGGACTACAAAGATTTAAATATTGTGAAATAAAACCAGTACAGATACAAATCTACATTACAATATGCAGTAAAGGGAAATGGGAAAGCTGATAAAATCCATTTTTATAATGACTAGATAATTCCATAGTTGTTTCGATAACCCACTTCAAGAAGCTTCATCAAGTTTCCTTCATTCTATACAATTCACAATGCTTCTAGCACTCAAGAATACTATTAAAATACATACTTGGCTATTGTTTTTCACAGCTTGCGAACTCGTCTGTGAAGCATTTGAGAAGGAGTCAAAAAAGGCTTGATCAGCTACCAAAATTCCATCTCTGGTGCTTTCATGTATAATCTGAAAAACAGAAAGTTGCTGAAAAAACATTTCTAAAATCAAAGATAACTATTTCTATTGAGGACCTAATTTTGAACTTCATGGAGCACATAAATTCAGGACTACATCTTCCCCATTTAGAGCAAGTGCCTAATATAATAACTTAATCAAACTTTTTTTAAAAGTTACCATTTTATTTTATGCGTTCTGAGTACAAACTGAATGCCTACAGGTATTCAGCAAGAAAAAACAGACCAGCACAAAGTCAGAAAACATGCAAAGCATGGCTTCTGGTTTCGTTTTGTTTTTAATCCAGCAGAACCCATAGAAGGCATCTGTGTTTGCTTCTGTGTAACCAATTAATGTGCTGCTGCATCTGTCTATATGAGTGTCTGTTTCTGCTTTCCTTTTCTATTGCATCTCTGTGTATATATGTTCACTGAAAAAGTCCAGGATGAACTATATATATTCCACTATGGGTCATGTAACTTAGAATGGAAGATTCATCTGAATTACCGCACAACTCTTTCTCATAATATAATGAGAATTTTTTTTCCTATAACTTTTGTCTCTACAGCCTCTGACCTGATCTGACCCATTTTTGACACTCCATCTTTCTTTTGCTAGTTTTTCCCTATGCCAAATTTGGCCTGTTAAATTCCATTTTTGGAGAGTTATATGCTCATAAACAGATTTCTGATCCCTTTTAGTTAATCTATTTCCAACATTCAGTTGGCCTGAGAGAAAATAACAAAGCAGGAAAAGCATGCAGAACATAGTTCTGAATTTTTCTATGTCTTTAATAATAGCTTCTATCTGGGTCATGTGACCAGGCCAGAGAAGTTGAAATGGAGGAGCTGGCAACATTCCCAATCACTTCTTCCACATTGTTGCAATGGGGAAAATTTTATGGATTTTCTTTCTCTCTAACTCAGTCCAGCCTAATTTCAAATGTTTTTACTATCCATACCAAATTTGGTGTTTTTTTTCTGCTCAATTTTTGGAGCTTAATCAGGCCGATGGATAGATAGTCTCAACATAGTTTATTTTCATAATTCCATTTAGCTGGAAAGAATAAAAAATTAGATGTCTATATGAAACTCTCATATAACCAATTTAGCATTTTTTAAATCTTCCTAGTCAATAAATCTAAAGCAGATTCTTTAACCAAAAGTCTAGCTCGAGACTCATATGCAAAAAACAATTTTACTAAACACATATGATTCACCCAGTTTGTGTGTGTTCCATAAATTATACAGTATTACTTTCTGTTTCAGGAATCATGTGATTTTACATTTAAGGATCAACAGTTTGTGATTTGGTTTTGTCTAAATAACTAAATTCTGTACCATATAAAATACTGTATATAACACTGCCAATAAGTCTACTTATACATTATATGACAGCTTCATTTTATATATTGACAAATATTGTTTTATTATAATATCTTACTTCAACATAATCTGTAGGAACCAGTCCTTTTTCTCCTTGGCTGTTTTTGCCTTCCAGCCAGCCTCCACCTACATCCTAAAATAAATTTTAAAATATGGGGTTAGCAGTTAAATTATAAAAGTAAGAAATTATATATTTAATTTTCATAGATAGCTAATTTCATAGATAGCAAACAATATGTTCATAGTTAATTCTGACCAAAATATTTGTAATACAGGAAAAAAAGTATAATCAATAAAACCTCTAATGGTTCTTGCAGGTTATTTATTATGTAATTGCCTGCAGAAGTTTTTAGGAAATCCACAAAGTATCTTCTTTCAAACTCCTTGTTTTCCTACCATTTCCTCTATTTTTCGTAACACAAATAATCAAATGACAGAGAAAACTAAAGAATACTTCAGATTTTTATAATAATCCTATTACTTGTTTGGTAATAATTCCCACCAATTCCAATGACTCACTCTTAAGCCCAGGTATTCAGGTATAACCCAATTCTTTTTATTTCTTAACTCTATTTATCAATAAATATTTGCAACTTTGAGAAATAGTTGAACAAATTGCTCTGGGGAACTCAGTCAGTTTGTGTTTATATATGTAAAACTATATCAAGTAAAGCCCATATTGTTATTAATCTGCATGAGAAAATAAAGATGTGCTTTAGGGTTTTTTTGCAATAAAATTAATGAACATTTTCATCATTAAAATTTCAAAATGATTAATACACATTATTTAGGACATATTATAGTACATATTTTTGCCTACTAAAGTGCCTTACCGGATTAGTAATTGTAATGATTTCTCCTTCATTAACTGTTAGTTCATTATTTCCTGGTTCAGCAGCAAAGTCATACATCACTCGACCCTATAAGGTATGAAAAAAATTCTACATGAATGACATGTTTAACTCAAATTCATGGGGGGGGGGGAAATCTTAATATGAAATTCATCGATTAGCATTTTGAAAACCTGAATACCTAAAATCCAAATAAAATTCAAATTTCAAAAAGAACCAATTCTCCATTATCTCCAACCTTTTGGTTGCACCTAATCAAATCAAATCAAATTAAATTTATTTTTTCCTTTGCATAATTAAACATGGCACAAACTAAATTGGTAGAATCAAACACAAAAAAGTCTATCAAGCCTCTACGTTTGAAGAATAAATGCTGCATGACATAATGCAGCTATTACTTTCCAAGACTCACAAGCAGGGCATAAAGTCATTCTTTTTCACGGGAACTTGGTGGTCAGAGACATCCTGCTTTTACATATGGATATTTCATTAAATCACTGGGTTCAGTAGTAGGAAATACAGCTCTGCCCTTTTTTTCTTCCAGGAGGCCACAACAGTCTTACCCACCACAATGACTCATGCTAGCACCACTCTTGCTTTAGGGCAGGGGTACCCAACCCCCGGTCCATGGACCGGCACTGCCGCGGCATGCCAGAAACCGGGCCACGCAAACAAGTGAAGCCCCATCTGTGGGATGCAGGTAGCATGCAAAACCATGCCCCCTCCGGTCCATGGAAAAAATTTTCTCGGCAGAAACAGTCCTTGGTGCCCAAAAGGTTGGGAACCTCTGCTTTAGGGCTTTAATAGCTGCCTAATACACATACATTTTCTGAATGAAGCTTTTCTGCTGCTCTATACATACATTTAGCAGATCTTAGCAAGGGGAGAGAGAGAAGAAAGTCATCTCAACCTTTCCCTTTGAACTGAGAAGTACTAAAGAGAGCCAACAGGCAAAAATATGAGAGATTAGCTTTTCTTTAGTTATCAAAACAGATCTTGATAATACATACCAGATTTGATATGCTTATCCAAATTAAATCCATTAAGAGGATGACTGAACAGGATCTGCCCAAATGACACTTTAATACTTTATGAATGAAAGTCATAATACTCAAGGAACAAACTTATGCTGGAGGAATAATTGAAAGAAGAGAGGTCTTAATGGTCCAATGTATCCCAATCAAATAGCAATTAAGAAACCAAAGAAGCAATGATATAAAGTATTTATCTCCCATTCCAATTTCCTAAAACATATTTCAAAGCTAATATTTTAAGAAACACACTGAATTGTATTCCACGTCCATGTACATGCAAGTACAGTGGACTCTACTGTCACATTATTCACCAAAGCACCAGAGGGCAGGACCGGAAACAATGATTGGAAACTGAACAGAGAGAAGCAACCTAGAATTAAGGAGAAACTTCCTGACAGTGAGGACAATTAACCAGTGGAACAGCTTGCCTCCAGAAATTGTGGGCACTCCATCATTGAAGGCTTTTAAGAAGAGGCTAGACAGTCACTTGTCTGAGATAGTATAGGTTAGTGGTGGCGAACCTATGGCACGTGTGCCAGAGGCGGCACTCAGAGCCCTCTCTGTGGACACGCCTGCTGTGCCCCGGAGATGGAGACGGACTGACCCCCACCGCCTTGGCCCCGCGCACCCAGTCTGCCATGACAACCGCAGCCACGCCCACCCAGTGATAAATACGGTAAGTGGGTTTTGGGTTGCAGTTTGGGCACTGGGTCTCTAAAAGGTTCGCCATTACTGGTATAGGTTCTCCTGCTTAAGCAGGGGGCTGGACTAGAAGACCTCCAAGGTCCCTTCCAGCTCTATTCTATTCTATTCTATTCTATTCCTATTATTCTATTCTTCCCCTCTCCAAACATTGTCAAGCCCCATTTGAACTGTCATTTTTTCATTATATTATACTGATTTTCAGATTACTTCTGTGGAGTTTATTGAGCCATCAATAGCCAGACTATTTCTTCTAAAAGATACTATAAGATAAGTGCATATTGTTATCAAATCTTTACAGGCTTAGTTAAAAGTCCTGAAACCCTGATCAAGAGACAAAGCTTAATGATTTAAAAAAATGGCTCTGTTTATGTCGATTTTTTATTATTATTATTATTATTATTATTATTATTATTATTATTATTATTATTATTATTATTATTATTATTATTTATTATTATTATTATTATTATTATTATTATTATTATTATTATTATTATTATTATATCCTACTGTTTTATATATAACTCAAGGCAGTGAACAGATGGAATCCCATCAACTTCTCAACATTCTGCAAAACATAGTTTGAAAAGAATTGTGTTTTAGATCATTGATTTACACGCTATTTACATCCTGCTGTCACTGTACATGGTGCCTTACAACTCACTGCCCCAGAAGCTTTTGATGCAAAATTTAACTAAAATAAAAACAAATGAAAATAAATAAAATATGCCTCTTGGTTGAAGCAAAGGAGTCAAATTCCTTTACCACCATCTAACTCTTATCTGGATTTGTACAGCTTCTGTACATGTTATTCTTTCAATGTGCTTAAGCTTAATTACTGGTACCAAATGGGAACCAAAATTTGACATTCAATGGCTAATTACAATATCACATTCAATATTATTTCTGCTGTATCTTTGTTAGCTAGGTGCATAAGAATATTTTTTATTAAAGCTGAATTTCATTATGATAAACAACATTTCAATCACTTCAGAGATGAACTATTTTCCCCACCGCACAATAAAATTTCACCAAACACAGCAATACCCATTTTAGCAGTAATCTAAACTTAATCTGATATAAATTAACTTTGAGTCGACCTATGTATATATATCCTTCCTCTAGATGTTGTGAGTGACCAAATATTAAGTTAAACATCTGCTCTAATTATAGCTTCTTTCCCTGGACATTAAAATTATGCCACACTCTACAAGTTATGCAGTGGTCATTAGTCATATTTCATGCTTTAAGTGCACATTAAAAGGCGGCAGGATAGCAAATATCTTCTTTTGAAATGCTGATACTACAAACCAAGCACAGTAAAGTTTGTTTCAGTCATGATAAAAACAAAAGCAAACAGGGTCCTCAACCATGGACCAGTACCGGGCAGCGGCATGCCAGCAAGCGGTCCGCACAAACAAGGAAAGCCCCATCCACGGGATGCAGGCAGCTCACAAAACCATGCCCCCTCCGGTCCGCGGAAAAACCTCTCTCCACGGAACCGGTCCCTGGTGCCCAAAAGGTTGGGGACCTCTGCTATACATAAGACAATACAGAATTAAAGTAAATATCTTTCATTGGGACTTATGAAAGATAATAGAATGCTGATACTAACTAGCCAGGTTTTGACTAAGGAAATGGACATTTGGAAATT